TAGCAGTATACATGTACAATCATAATACCTTAAAATCCAACACCCCTCCTCCAACTTAGTAAACTCCACTCCCTCCCACCCTCACTTCCCAGAACCAATACAAGGTATAAATCTTTAACAAAAACAGTTTAAAATATACTTAATTTCTCAGCATTGAGATCATTAATACTCTTGTTCGCTCACTTTGCATTTTGAAAATTGACAAAAAGTAAACAACTATTTATATTTCTCAAAGTATTGTTTACAGCATTTTTCCACGCCTGCGTAAAACTTTTGCAAAGTACTGTATATATAAATATTCCCCGCCCCCTAATGTTTCTTCTTTTCGTCACCATTTTAATGGGCATTTATTGATAACTGGCTTTTCAATTTGTTAATTTCATGAATCCGTTTTTTTCCCCTGTCTTGTGCAAACAGGCGGCAATATAAATTTCCAAATAAATAAATGTTGCAGCAGAGAGCAAAATTAGTGCAGCTTGCAAAACAGATTTGCCCATTTTAAAAAAAAACTGCTATTTTAAAAGCCTGTCTCACCTGAAACTGCAGAATCCTATCGGTCCAACCTGCAGAGAAAAAAATAAATAAAAGCGAGTTAAAAATACAATTTAACCCTGGTTAAATCGAAGTTTTTACCAAGCCATATGGGGACACGAGGAGCCTTTTCAGAAATTAAAATTTATCCTCACAGCACAGTTCAGAACAGGTCTGTGTTAATTTCATCATCGAAAGACTCCGCTTTATTCATTAAAAATTAAACGCCCCCCCATAGGACGGGACCTGCAAAATCTAGCTTTTAAAGGTAACCTTTTTTCAGATAATGGCAAAATGCATAGCACTGTAAAGGGAATCTGCAAAAGCATAATCCAAATTTAGGCATCTCTCCAAAATGTGTTAATTTTTATAAAGGAAAGACTTTGATTTATTATTTTTAAAAGAGCTCCATGGGACGAGCCTTGCAAATTTAAAATATTTTACAGCAACCTTCAGATAATTGCAAATGCATTGCACTAGTTTTTAAGAGCAAAGAAATCCAAATTAAGCCTCCCTTCCAAATGCGAAAATTTAATTTTATCAAAATAAGACTACGAGGAAGGGATAAAGAGGAGGAAGAGAAAGAAGAGAAGGGAAAGAAGGTGGGAAGAAAGAAAAGAAACTGGGGTAGGAAGGAGGGAGGGAAGAGGAGAGGGTAGTAAAGAGGGAGGGAAAGAGAGGAGAGTTGAAAGGAAGGAAGGAAGGAGGGAGGAAAGGAGGGAGATTAAGAGAAAAGGAAGGAGGGAAAGAGGAAGGGAAGGTATGTGAGGAGGGGGGACCGAGGGAGGGAAAGGAGGGGGAAGGAAAGGAGAAAAGAAAGGAGGGAAGGCAGGGGAGAAGGAAGTAAGGGAGAGAGGGAAGAAAAGGGTATGGAAAAGAAGAAATGAGGGAAGAGAAGAGGGAGGGAAGGAATAAGATACCTAACCTTTGATGTTTATAATGATTTGATAGTATGGGAATATCTCGAAATGTAGTTGTATTGTTTTTTACAAGTTATGGATGTTGTATTTTCTTTTTACCAATAAAATCTTTTTTAAAAATTTTAAAAAAAAATCAAAATAAGACTACGATCTATTGAAAAAAAAAATAAGCCCCATAGGACGGGGCACGCAAATTTAAAATCATTTTTACAGCAATTTTTTAAATAGATAATTGCAAAATGCATTGCCTTTTAAAGGACTTTGCAAAAGCAAAATTCCAAATTGAAGCATTTTTCTCTTCCCTCCACAGGACAAAAAAAATATTCATATTAAATATATATATATTTCAATCTCGTATGCAAGATGAATGCATTTAATATGCATTTAATATGAATATTTTTTTTTGTCCTGTGGAGGGAAGAGAAATATATATATATATATGCACAATACATAATATAAACGCTTAATATATTGTTTAAAAACACAGCCAAGGTCGCAAGCAGCATTTCGAAACTTCCCCAAAGCAAAGGTTGGGCTTTGCAGAGATCCTATTTTTCCTCGCATGCGTTGATTGTCGCCCACCTGGGCCGGGATCTCTCCCCCCCCCGATCTAGTGGATCTCAATCGTGGCTAATTTAGGAAGAGGGGATCGCTTGAAAGCGATCGGGCCAATTGGGCTGGGGCTGATCTTCCCGCAGGCCGAGGATGGCGACCGATTAAAAACACGCACCTCTGCCTGGATCCACCGAAGACGCTTCGTAAAAGGAAATAGGATCCGGCGGCCAAAGAGTTAAATACTCGGGAGGCGCGGGGCACGATGGGAAACGCTCCGCCCACTCCAATAGAATGTCTCTCTCTGGGGTCTTTAGCGCGCGAAGGGTTGTGGGTAAATCTGACTATAGAGATACTAAAATAAGACTTGTATCTTGCCGTTGTTATAGTTTTAGAGATAGCAATTTCGAGATATTTTGCCATGGATTTCATTCAACTAACTCCCCTGTGGTGAATGTAATAATAAAGAAGGCAACCTGCGGATTTTAAACGTACAATTGAGCAATAAAGGCCGTCCTGGAAATGATGTAGCAAACTTACATTTGAGCCCAAAATTTGAATTTCCTTGCAAAGGTTCTATTGTTTCGTATCTCTATGTCAGCAATGGAGAAGTGGGAGAAACGCGCGCGAAAGGCCGGAGCGGTGCGCAAGCGCGGAGAGAGGAAACGGCCGAAAGAGCGCGCATGCGTAGGGAGAAATATTATGGCTGGATCAGGGGAGGGGCTGTCTTTCTACTTCCTGGATTGCAAGCCCTCCTCCCCCCCCCACAAAAAAAAACAACGTTCCCCTGAGCATGTACAGAGTGCTCCCAAACCTCATGCATTAAAAGCTTTTGCCCATTTGGTGGATCTATCTGATTGCAATGCCTGTCTTTAAAGCTTCCACCAATTCTTATTGCTCCATTTGTTTTAATGCACCTATTTAATGCATCTATTTAATGCACCAATTTAATGCACCTGTTTAATAAATCAGTAATTGCTGGCGAGAGTCGAGTCAACTGCAGAAGGAAGAAATGCACGACTGAAATCCCAGAGATGAGATGAGAGACAGAGTGATGATGCTCTCTCGGTTGTTTCCTTGCAGACGTTTCATCGCCCAGCTAGGTAACGGCATCAGTGCTCAAAAGAGAGGGAGGCCGAACTGTCGACTTTTCCGATCGACAAGCTCAGCCTCTTAGCCACTGAGCCACCGCATCCCTATAGAACGACGGCAAGAACTGAAAACACAATGGAAGCAGGATTCAATTTTTTTCTCCGCAATTTCTTTTATTCTCGCCAACAGTCAGAAAAGGGGGAAACGTTTATCTAAATACAGAATTTTCAAATGTCCCCCACTGGAGGAGAAGATTTTTCTTCCGGGGGACAGAGGTCTGGAGGCTGCTTGGTGGCCAGGTACTGCTCAACCATTCGGGGCAGGAAACATTGCAGGAAATGAAAAAAATCTTGGAAAACTCCTCCCTGTTCAGGGTCTGGAGTGAAATTGAGGTTGACTTGGGGATCCTGTTCCCCGGAACCCCCGTCTTTGATCGTGGCGCAAACGTTGAATCCGAACAGCGGATCGACTGGCCTAGTCTGCCCCTCTTGTTGGGAAATCGCCTCGGATACTTTGCCTTCCAGCTCTAAGGGATCAGCGGATGTTTTGGGATCCGCTTGCGGGCTGCTGAACTGTCGCCGGACCCGCCGTCTTCCTAACCAGACGCGGTGCCAGGCGGCGCAGTCCCAGCTCACACTTTCCGTGTCGGGAAGCGAAACCTCCATCCGTGATTTCTTCGCAGGGGGAGCCCCCAACGCGGCGTCTTCTAGATCCAGAGATCGCTTGGAACCCACCGACAATTGTTCGGTTTTCGTTTTCAGGTGATCCTCCTCCGGATCGCTGCCGAAGGATTCCCCATCGTCTCCGGGTCCCTGCGGATTCTCCGAGCAGCTGCATTTCAACACATGCTGCAGGACGTACGAGATGCCTGCGCACACCCTCCGAAACGGGAGCTGGGAGGAATCCCTGCTCGGATGCAATTCCGAGCGGGATTGTGTGGCCGGCGTTAAAGGGAGGAGGATGACCAGGTGTTCTGGGGCTTGGGAGCTGCCGGGCTGGAAGAGACGAACCAGGCCCCAGCTCTTCCCCTTGCTGGATTTACGCTGGTATTGCAAACTCCGGCAGTATTTGGCGGCGTCTTGGCAGCTCCGCTGAAGGCGCAGCGCCGTCTTTTCGTTGACGTTGGCTGCAACATTGTGGCTCAGCTCAAAGGGATCCTGGAGGTTGATAGGGCCCACCTTGAATTTCTGACCAGCGTCGGATAACAGGAAATCGGGGAGAGGGAGCAACCGGCCCTCACGCAGGGAGATGACACCGCTGGTGAAATTGTAGCTTTCGAAGATGCGGAAAAACTCCGCCAGGAGGGAGCCTGGAATGCAGGAAACCAAGCGAGCGTTAGGGGACGTTGAGTTTTTCTAGCTTAAATTTGGAGCTTGTTATGCGCTAAGGAAGGATGAGGGGTTTAGCTTTCTAAGCGAGGGAACATGGTGGTTTAATTGTGGTTTGTTAAGGGGCTTGTGGAAACACTTAGAAGGGACGGAAAGGATGCAAGGGAAATTGTGCAACCATATTAATGTCAGTTGTAATGTGTGGCTGTGAAAGTTGGACCATAAGGAAGGCTGAGCGCCAAAGAATGGAGGCCTTTGAACTCGGGTGCTG